GAGGAACACAGCAGGCCAGGCAGCATCAGGGGAGCAGGAAAGTTGACTTTTCGGGTCGGGACCCTTCTTCAGAAATGGCTTCACAGTAAAATTCACTCAGAGATGTTTCTGAAGAAGGGTCCCGATCCGAAATGTCAACTTTCCTGTTCCTCTGATACTGCCTGGCCTGCTGTGTTGCTCCAGCTCCACACTGTGTTATCTAACTTTCTACTGGTCTTTCTCATCTACTAACTCAAAACTAAACCAGTAGAAAATATAAACAACAACAGAAATTGCTAGAAAATCTCAGCAGGTTTGGCATCTGTGAAGAGAAATCAGAGTTAACATTTTGGGTCCGGTGACCTTTCCTGAGAACTCAGTACAAAACATGCTTTCTTAGTCAAAATCTCAGCAAACATCAATTGCCCATCTGGTGGACATTATTGAAAGGCTTCCTTGCTTTTAATAAATAAAAGTCTTACTTAATGTGGATGATTTGTGAAGTGAGCATGCAATTACACTGTCTAAAATTGAAACCACTCAATTTGCAAATCATCAGCTTTTAATACTGTAAAGCTGTTAGCAGCTCCCTTCCAGCAGTGAAATCATTAACAGTCAGTTAACAGATAGATTGAACTCCAACGCATTGCCTAAGCACAGGTATGTAATGATCACATTACATTATAAAGACTGTTGCATTCCACAAAACAAAAAGGTTGTGATTCATTCAGCAGTGATAAGGAGTGGCAATGCTGTTGACAGCAATTCAATATTTTGTATAGTGAAAGTGCCAACATATCTGAAACCAAGGCTCAAAGGGAAAGGGTGAGTTTAATAATTAACGTGCAGAGGGTGGAGTGCAATTGTCAACTCTCTTGCTGCACCCTCTCATTTTTATTTCCCCAAGCTGATTTTATCTTTGTTATTATGTAAAACACTGCATACATTGTTTGGTAGAATTTTACAAAGAAGCAACCTGAAAGCCTGATGCTGGTGCTTATCTTTCCTATGAATCTTTTGCCATCACTTTTTAACTCTATGTTGTATTCTTCTGACCTGTTCTCCCTCATTTCCTTATCTAGCTTGCCCTTTAATGCATCATTGCAATGTCTACTATGTTTTTTTTCAAATTCAAATTGTGAATGAGAGATACTATATTTTTCCTTTCTGAAGCACATTTTCCATATTGGCACACTTACTGTTGTTAAACATAGGGAAAAGTATTAGGGGAAATAAGGTGCTAAATACAAATAAAGTAAAGAACTGCAGATGCTGCAGATCAGAAACAAAAACAGATATTTCTGGAGAAACTCAACAGGTCTGACAGCATTTATAAAGAGAAAGCAGAGTCAATGTTCAGGGTCCAGTGAAATTCTGAGGAAGAGTCACTCTTCTCAAAATGTTAACTCTGCTTTCCCTCCACAGACAAATGCTGCCAGACAGACCTGCTGAGTTCCTCCAGCAATTTCGGATAAAAAGAAAACTGAAAACATGGTTCAAGGGTCACACTATTGATTGAATTTTTTAAATTCTTGATTTGACAGCACCACTCCTTTTGGGATGGGGTTGGTGAAATAATCAAATAATATCTGTTAAACGATGTTCATTTTTCATTAACCCTCCTTCCCATCAGTTGCCCTGCCCCCACACCCTGAAGTCCTGCATTTTGTGAGTTGCTTCCTGCACAATCAACCCATTTTTATAACACAGCATGGAGCTGGATGAACACAGCAGGCCAGGCAGCATCAGAGGAGCAGGAAAGCTGATGTTTCAGGTCGGACCCAACTGTTCACACTTCTTATTAGCACCCTACCTAATATTTATCTCTCTCTCAATTTGTGCAATCTCTTTGTTTGCTTCTCCCTCTTTTGTCTCTCTCTCTCTCTCTCTCCCCATCTGGAATCTGTCTCTCTGCTTCCTATTCAATCCCTCCCACCCCATTATCAGCATAAATACCACTCGTTCCCAGCCATCGCCAGTTCTATAGAAGAGTCACTGGATTTGAAATGTAAATTCTGTTTCTCTTTCAATTAATGCTACCGGACCTATTGTGTTTCTCCAGCAATTTCTGTTTTTGTTTCAGATTCCCAGAGTCTGCAGTTCTCTGTGTTTGTTCTAGTTTTTGCTCAGTTGCACTAGCTCTGCTGTAATTGAGTAATCTTAATGTAGTTGTAATTTGGCAGTGTTGGAATGAAGTGATGAGAATGGATTTAATCTCCCGTTCAGCTGAGATAGTCCTGGAGCATTGAACACTTGGGGTCAGGGAGAAACGAATTGGAATGCAAAGTGTTGTATTAACCGACCCCAAACCTGGTGCCCGTGCCTATTTTTTGACAATTCCATTCCCTTTTAGGCTAGGATTTAGCATGTGACAATTAAAGCTCCCCCTACTGAGACTTACCAGTTCAGAGCTCTCAGGTTCCTTACCCAAAAGGCAAAATTAGCTGTTGAAGAATGGTTTAGGGTAACTTTTGAGACAAATTCATGATTTGCCTTGTAGAAAATGTATGGTCTTTGCTTCATATAAACTGTTATCTTACCAGCTCACGACATGGTATAGGCAGTCCCTGAGGTCCATTCTTGAATCCATTAGCCAGTAAATTTGTACATGAGTTGGAACACAATGCAGGACAATCTCAAAGGAGATGTGAGGGGCAAGTTTTTCACACAGAGAGTGGTAGGAATCTGGAACGCACTGCCAGGGTTGGTGGTGGAGAGAGGTACAATAGGGGCGTTTAAGGGGCTTTTAGATAAGCACATGAATGTGTAAGGAATGGAGGGATATGGACCAAGGGTAGGCAGAAGGGATTAGTTTAATTTGGTATCATGTTCAGCACAACATCATGGGCTGAAGGGCCATTTCCTGTGCTTTACTGTTCGATGTTCTATTAATATAAAATTGACACTCATAAGTACAGGAAATGTTCATATGTCAGATTTTTAATATTACACCCCTGTATTAAAACATATTCGTAAGCATGAGCATTTGTGAAGTCGGACATTATACTGATGAGACCTTACGCCATTACATGTTTCAACAATTTACAAAACTAGTTAAGGTTATTTTGTAATATCTTCTTTCTCAATGAGACAGATTTTTACCTTGTTCAAATAACTTAAAATTAGTTTAAACTCATTTATTCCAACAGGAACTCTTTCTTGGGCATCTTAAGATTTAAGGGTTAATTATCAAATGTCTTTGCATTATGGAGAAAAAGATTTTGTTAATATCAAAGAATTATCTATGAATAATGCCTGTATAAAGAAATAAGGGCAAATTGACACTGGCCGAAGTAATTAAGGGATCACTTAATTAGAGTAATAAATAATGGTAGAGAAACCGATTAATAACAATGTAGAAAGAAAAATATAATTCAAGTGTTAAGAATATCAAAAAGTATTCTTTGAGGCCTTGGAGAAAACAAGAACTGTAGTACTGTACTGTAGAATGACACCGACATGAAAATGTACCTTCAAAAGGACTTGGGAATAGATATATCGAAGAGACTTATCTGCGTCATGTATCTTTGATGTAGACAAAATATGGCAAATAAAGGAGCTTGGTTTTCAACCATGGTTCAACAAACTTGAAAAATGCAGAAATTGAAAAGTTGCTTTCACTGTTGTGCCAGACACTATGCTCTGTATCAATAACATCTGTGCTTTTTCCTCTACCGTCAAATGTCTTGGCATTTGCTTTCATTATTTTGAATGGTCTGACCGTGGGAAATTGGTTGGATTACAAGTGCAACTAAGGAACCAATGAATGATCAGCTAACTAAAGATTTGGCATCAAACAGAGATTGCTGGAAAAACTCAACAGGTCAGACAGCATCAGTCAAGAGAGAAACTGAATTAATATTTCAAGAATAATAAGACTTCTTCAGAACTGAAGTTTCTCCAGCATTCTCTCTGTTTGTTTCAGATTTCCAGCATCCCACAGTATTTTGCTTTTATTAAAAAGCTGCCATTACAGTTGCTAAAATTTGTGCTGTATTTTTTTTCAGAAAGTTGTGGTAACCTATGAAAAATGGTTAGTGTTATTGAACCAGAAGACGCAAATATAGAACTTTAATAGGAATGAAGTAAGATTCCTTGACCAATGATTACGAAAGGCCTGGTTGGGTACAGTTACCAACAGGAATGAATCAATTACAAGGCTTTCTTGAATGAAAGAAAATGCAATTTTTTTATTTGTTCACCCTGAGAGAAAAAATAATTAAGGTGTGACATCAACATACACACAGGTGTGAAGTTAAACAGGGATAGTGCTCAGTACAAAAGAAAGATGAAAGTGATCTACAAAATCTAAGACTTAAATTTAAAGATTTTAAAGTCTCTTGTGTGTCTTTGACACTTAAAGGATTTAACTTAAGACCATAGTTGCTTAATTGCTGCCTCATATCCTGAATATTAGAAATCATTTGAAGTGACCAAATGTTTCTCTCCAGTTTGTGTTGTCTCTTTGTTCTTCAGAGATTGAGAAACAGAACTTTCTTTATCTGGTTCCAGACACAAAGCCATCTCCCCTGCTCTGCAGAAAGCAGCTCCCTGAAATGTAGCTGATTTGTGTATCCCAATGTTTGAGTTCATTGTTTCCAAACTTGATAATTGTTGGTGATTTATTTCATCTTCAATAAACAAACTGTTTCAGAAAGTTGTGATTCAAAATAGGAGATGAGAGTTTCTTTGTAACTGACTGGGTGAATTAGTTTCAGTCTCTTTTCATAAAGATGTTAATTTCAGTTCAGATAATTTTGTTTGTTCCGTGTTGATTTATCTGTGTTTATTATATGAAGATTAGTTAACCTGTATGGTCATCTGATTGCTATGGCTATTTTAAATTCACGATTTCTCCTATATAAAATCATCAGACTCCCTGGAAGTCTCAGTTACTAAAACAGATGGCAGAATTTAAAAAAAGTTATTTTCTCAATATCATGATTAATATAATTGGATACAGTAAGATGTAAATAGTACAAAAAAAAACTCATTTGTAAATTGTTGATATTTGACCTTACCTTGAGTGTAATGCAACCACCAAACATGTGATCCTCTCTCATTCAATCTGCTTTCAGGATTCTGAATGGATCATTTCCCATGACATCTGATTCCACTGTTAAGATAATGGTAAATATAGAGCATCAAACTTTAACTTCCATTATCCACCTGTTATTCCAGAAATCTTTCATGGGGTAAAATATATATTAGAATCATAGAATCACTACAGTCTGGAAGCAGATCATTCGGCTCATCAATTCCTCAGCAACCCTCCGAAGAACATCCCATCCAGACCTACATCTTTGCACTGTGGGAGGAAACCAGAGCACCTGGAGGAAACCCACGCAGACGGGGGGAGAATGTACAAACTCTACACAGACAGTCACTGGAAAGTGGAATCGAACCAGGTTTCCTGGTGCTGTGAGGCAGCAGTGCTAACCACTGAGCCACCATATTAAAAATGGATCTAGATCTAATGTGGCTGTAGTGATCAACTGACTACAGAATGAAGCAAACTACATGAGACCAATGTGGAATGAACATGGACTGGTAACAGTAAGGGCTGAAAGACTGTCTCTCTCTCTCTTTCTCTCTCACAATGCTTGTTTGTCCCATCATTTTGGAATATAGTTCCCAGTTAAAAAAAAGGCAAGTTGGAAAAATAGCCATTCATTAAGGACTGAAAGATATCTACAGGTTTCACCACTGCTGAGCACACCTGTCAACAATTAAACAACTGTGAAGTTGCCATATTCAAATGACCCTGGACAAAGGAATTGAGGGTTTGAATGAGGCAAAGGGTTTATTCTACAAGTGCTACCCCGGAGATACAGCTTGTGAAGAGACCAGCTCCCTGACCATAGTTCGCTTCACAAATTTATGCACCTTCCAATCATCTCCTGTGCTCTGTAATTCCCATCATCATAGGACTACAAATTACACAAAGCTAGTACAGTATTTATAATTCTGTGTGAATTTAGATGATTATATGGTTGATGCATCCCACAGTGATTGCATTCCTCCTGAGACCAGTCAATTCCTCTACTTCGCACATTCCACATTGATCATGGCTTTTTATGTTTCAAGTCAATTCTCCAATTTGTTACAGTGATTATTTCTTAATAACATTGTACACATCTCTGGCTTACATACATTTGAATGATCAGATTGTTTCAGTGGTTTAAACCAGGTTTCCACTGTCTGTTTACTGCAACCATTTCTCTACAGGGTTAAACATTCCTCTGCCTTGCATTTATTGCAATGGTGCTATCTTCTTTTCTAATTTTAAGCAGGTCTCTTTTTTGAATTAGTTAAATATGTCTTGACTGCTCTTGATGCATACAGTCATGTGTCATCCTTGTATTTAACTGGCTTTTAAATTTATATCTAAACCTTACTTGACATAGTCTCAAGAACAGGCTAACCTCAATGGTGATAAGGACTTTTAAACTGCATAGCTTTTACTTATCCTGTTTGTAGCAGGTAGATTCAATTTTATATTTATCTGTGTATGTGTATACAGTTGACACATTTATTCTTAATTTTAGTAAATAATACAATTTATCGTTCTTCCATTCACAAAGAACATTGCTAATTCTTCCCTTCAATTTCTAGTGAACTGTGATTTTCATAGAATTCCTAAAGCATGGAAGTTGGCCATTTGGCCCATACCAACCCTCTGAAGAGCATCCCACCCAGGCCCAGACCCAGACCCCCCTTAACCTATCCCTATAACGCTGCATTTCCCATGGCTAATCCATCTAGCCTGCACATATCTGGACACTTCGGTAATTTAGCATGGCCAATCCACCTAAGCTGCACATCTTTAGACTGTGGGAGGAGCACAACATTGTGGGCCGAAAGGCCTGTACTGTGCTATGTTGTATGAAACCGGAGCACCCGGAGGAAACCCACGCAGACACAGGAAGAACGTGCAAACTCCACACAGACAGTTGCCCGAGGGTGGAATCGAACCCGGGTCCCTGGCGCTGTGAGGCAGCAGTGCGAACCACTGAGCACTATACCACCCATGCCACTTTTATTGAAGTGTTATTGCTATGTGTTTAAAAAAAAAATTTGCTGAAACAGACAGAGCGGGGTTTAAGAAGAGAGCAGCCGATTCTGTTCCTCATCAGATTGTAACACTGCTCCCCAATCAGCCAGAAGAACTATCTCAAAAGTAGTTCACTGAGTACTTGGTGCTACAGTAAGAGTTCACTGTTTCAAGGTCAGTTCATGCCTGTTCTCCCTGGGAGAGGGTTTGGGAAGAGGGTAGGGGTGATATTGAGTAATTTAGAGTCTTCTGGCCACTCATCATGCCACTCTCATCAGTAAGAGCCACCAGCTGCCCCTTTAAATGTCCTGCCTGCTGCAGCCAGACCTCCTTTGGGTGGTCCATACATCATGGCACCGGTGATGTCCCCGTTGGAACGCTGATGATGCCAGTTTCCATGAGGATCTCATCTTTGGGGTTAAAGGTCAGACCTTCATACAAAGCACGGTTGTGCAATCTGTAAGAGACCACTGCAATCCTTGGCTCATGGGTATAGATGAGGCCCCCTGACCTATCCAGGCGCTGGAAGCGTGCTGTTTGCATTGGCTTTCTGGATCATGACTTGGCTGCACAGAGGATCATCAGATTTAATCCTGCTGATGTGGGCAGCTGAATCATTCAATACTGTCAACATGTTCCATCAATGTCCTCAGCAATTGGAACAGTCAATGATCCTTAACTGCAGGAAGCTGATGTTGGACTTAAAGGCTCCATGCAAATGGAGCTTAGAGTTTGCAAGATTTTGCAGTGCCGGTGTGATTCTGCGCATGTCTCTGACAGGTGCCAATATTTGCTTGCATGTGTAATATTTGAGCTCTCTGGTTAATTCTATTGACAAGGTAGGGAAGGTCTTCAAAACCCCAATGTCTTCCTTTAACACCTCAAAGGGACAACAAATTGGCTCATTGTTGAAGTGCAGCCTCCTCATACATACATCTAACATCACCTTAACAGATAAGTTCTGCTCATACTGGGATAACAAAATGTTGCCTAATCATCAGATGGAATGGTTTAATTCTTCATCAGACTCCCATCGCACAACGAGCAGACAAAATCAAGGACACAATTGAAGAAAGAATTTTTTACTCAAAATTTTTCACTCAATGTGGAAAAAAAATTAAAACATCAAATAGTCAGAAAAAAATGAAAGTGTCAGAAGCTATGAAGGAGCCACAACTCATCTGATAAAATTTGATAAATATAAATGTGATCATAGGTTTTCTCAGCCATATTTTGCATAAATCTTCAATATAAATTCAGGGCAAATCCAACCCAACAAAATAACCACCCCATCAGTCTCCTCTCGATCATCAGTAAAGTTATGGAAGGTGTCACCAACAGTGCTATCAAGCAGCACCTGCTCAGCAATAACCTGCTCAGTGATGCCCAGTTTGGGTTCCACCAGGGCCACTCAGCTCCTGACCTCATTACGGGCTTGGTCCAAACATGGACAAAAGGGCTGAATTCCAGAGGTGAGTTGGGAGTGATAGCCCTTGACATCAAGGCTGCATTCATCTGAGTGTGGTATCAAGGAGCCCTAGCAAAAGTGGAATCAATGGGTATCGGGGGCAAACTCTCCGATAGTTGGAGTCATTCCTGGCACATTAGAAGATGGTGGTGGCTGTTGGAGGTCAATCATCTCAGCTCCAGGGTAGTTCCTCAGGATAGTGTCCTCGGCCCAACCATCTTCAACTGCTTCATCAATGACCTTCCCTCCATCATAAGGTCAGAAGTGGGGATGTTCACTGGTGATTACATAATGTTCAGCACCGTTCATGACTCCTCAGATACTGAAGCAGTCCATGTTCACACGCAACAAGATCTGGACAATATCCAGGCTTAGTAGACAAACAGGAGGCTGGAAGAACACAGCAGGCCAGGCAGCATCTGGAGGAAAATAGCAGTCAAAGTTTCAGGTATTAACCTTCTTCAGGACTGGATGTGGAGGTAGGGGGAGTTGCAGATAAAGAGTGGGGTAGTGTGGTGGAAGAATGGTGGTGATAGATGGACACCAGTTGTAGGTATGACCTGGTTGGTCAATGGGAGGGCTGAATCTGGTTGGTAGCTGGAAGGGAGGGTCAGAAGGTGGAATGGAAGGGAGGAGGTGGGGCTGGAAGGGGAGGTGGGGGAAGGGTGGGAAGATTATTTGAAATTGGAGAACTTAGTGCTGAGTCCCCTGGACGGTCAGGTGCCTAGGTGGAAGATAAGGTGTTGTTCTTCACATTTGCATTGCGAGTTGCCGTGACACTGGAGGATGCTGAGGACGGACATGTCGGAGGGGGAGTGGGAGGGGGAGTTGAAATGGGCCGTGACCAGGAGGTTAGGTTGGCCGTTACGGGCCAGATGAAGAAGCTTGGCGAAATGATCACGTAGTTTCCGTTTTGTCTCACAGACGTAGAGAAGCGACATATCTGCAGCTCTTCCACCCCCAATCGAGTCCTGAAGAAGGGTAATACACGAAACATTGTCTGCTCCTTTCCTCCAGATGCTGCCTGGCTTGCTGTGTTGTTCCAGCCACCTGTTTCTCTCCCTTGGATTCTAGCATCTGCAGTTTTTTCTCAATATCCAGGCCTGGGCTGATAAGTGGCAAGTAATATTCACGCCACATAAATGCTAGGCATGCCCATCATGAACAAAAGACAATCTAACCACCTTCCTTTAGCATTCAACTGTGTTACCACCACTGAATCCCCCACTATGAACATCGTGTGGGTTATCAGAGGAATAACCTCGTGTGGAGGAACAGAGGGATCTTGGGGCCCACGTCCATAGCTCCCTCAAAGTTGCCACCCAAGTTGATAGGGTTGTAAAGAAGGCTTATGGTGTGTTGGCTTTCAATGGCAGGAGAATTGGTTTAAGAGCTGTGAGGTTATGCTGCAGCTCTATAAAACCTGGGTTAGATCACACTTGGAATATTGTGTTCAGTTCTGGTCACCTCATTATAAGAAGGATGTGGAAGCGTTAGAGAAGGCGCAGAGGAGATTTACCAGGATGCTGTCTGGACTAGAGGGCAGGTCTTATGAGGAAAGGTTGAGGAAGCTAGGGCTTTTTTCATTGGACTG